CAGCAGCAGGGGAGAGGGTTGTTTAAGTAGTCAGGGGGTTTTCCCTTTCTTTTTGTGCCTGTTAAAGCTCCATGTCCCAGCCTACCTGAATTCAGCAAGAAATATGAGGAGGGTAGAAGGAGGTTCCCAAAGTTGCTGATCAGAAAAGCAGTACAAGAGGGAAGTTGGAGTTGGGGGCAGCAGCAGGTTACTGGGGAGCTCTACCTGTGACACAGAAAAGTGTGAAGATTTTCATTTTTCTTTTAGCTTACTGTTCGTAGGTCAATCTCAGTAGTGTCATGAAAACAGGCAGCATTGCTGACTAAGAAAAAAGGGGTGGTTAGAGCTGGTAGGGAAGAGGGAATGTGAGTCTAAAGCAATCCAAGTAAGGCAAAGTATCCAAAGAAATCCACCTGTGCCTCTCTGCCTGTGCAGTTTGTTACGGAGCGGGAGCTGTTCCCTGTTCTGCACTGGCACAAGGAGGAAAAGGTGGCCACCAGCCACTCTCACTCATAGCAGCAACCTTGTTTGACCAGAAAAATTAGGTAAATGGACGGAGCTGCTGAATAACAGAAAAACTTTCCAGAGCTCTTTCCTGTAGTAGGGGTGAAGACAGCAAAGAGAAGGGGACAGGGAGTGCTGTTGAAGTTCCTCTGATGCAAAAGCTGATGAGTGTGGTGGCTTTTTGGGTGTGTGAGTGTTGTTACAAGCCTGGCCCTGGTTAGTGAGGATAGGGCTGGCCCAACGCTGGACTAATCTCTTTGTTTCAAACACTGTGAGGACCAAGACAGACAGTGCAGTTTTTGCTTGGTTTGTAACCTGAAGTTCAAGTCCAGAGCTTGAACAGAACCGTGCGTTTTTACCGAAGTGGGTGCCTGCCTCTTCTCTTTGCCCGTGCTGGTTATGCAAGTGCTGGCTAAGCCCCAAAACTGTTTTGCACCTGGATGTTTATATCAACAATTCATGCTGTATTTGTTTGTCACTGTAAAAGAGTATCAGTCCTTCTGGTCTAATGTTGGCTCTGCAAAAAAACTTTTATTTTCTCACCTGAAGACAATTATGCAGTAAAATCTGTAGAATGTTTTACAAGCAGTTATCAGGCGATGACTTAAGGATCGTTTTGAAGTCATTGCGTCCAGTATTACTTCGCACTTGCACAAGCTGTGGCTGACTCTGGAGCTCTGCCTAGCTGGGGTTCCTCCAAGCAGCCCGACCGCTCTCATCTGCCCACCGAGCTCGTTGCTAAATGGTTTCTGGAAGCTTCAGCTTGCCTTACGAAAGTCACACAATGTGCTCACTGTCAGGAGCTGCCTAGCACTGCCACCCCGCAGCCTTTCCTACTGCATAGTGGTAACGCCTTGCCAGGACAAAGGGAAGACTTCTTATGTTTTAAGGAGCTTGGGAAAATCGATACTATGCACTGTATTTTTTGCACAAGTCTTCACAAATGTACAATATAGAGAGCTCAATAAAAGCTGTTTGATTGCAGAATGGCTCCGGAGTAGTTTTTTAATGGCAGTTCAGGTTGAAAGAGTATTTGGCTGTAGACTGTGAGAAGCTTCTGTTGGCTGCAGAAGACCGTTCGCTTTCAATGAGTGAACCGCAAGACTCTGCGGTTCTCTTCTTCTGTCCCAGAGGGCTGCTGGTGGGGCAGGGCAGGCGGTGAGCCAGCTCACGGGCTGCTCCTCATGGCTGGCTGTAGTGCAATCCTGGTGTTTCTGTCCAGGGTTGGAAAGGAAGGATGCAGACCTAGGGCTCAGGTGCCGCTGCTGAAGTTCCTGCAGCAACAGGTGCCTGTGCAGTTGGACAGGTATTTCTGAATCGGTGCAAGGGGTGAGGGCCAGCCTGTGTGTCTGGGAGAAGGCAGTGACTTTTGGGAGTTACGCTGAAGCTGTACTGTTAAAAGGTGTGTGAATGCAAGTGAGGCGCATGGGGGTGTCCTGCGGATAAGGAGCAGCTGGGAGAAACAGAAGGAGCTGACTGTTATTTCAGGGCTGCGTATTCGTGCCGCTCCTCAGCGTCTTGGGCGATTGCTTGAGTTAAGCCACAAGGAAGGTGGTTTATATCCGCTCGGCGAGTGGGTAATCCCCTCATCCC